TTTATTCATTTCTGATTAATAAAACCTATTATAAGTAATTATGAATGACTCAATACGAATAACAGGTGAAGTAATTTAAATTGTTGTAAAATGGAATTTATGTTAATGCTACAAGGAGTTGACATTTTCAATTACATGAAATGTTAATAATCCATTACCAATATTGTCAGACTTATGTTCATACCATGTTACCATACTACCACCTTATGTTTATTAGTTATACTAGAGCATAAGTTAACGTTGAGGAATCAATTGAAACTGATGTTAAGTATTATATTACAATCCAATAATGCACATAAATAATGTGTAGGAAATGCACAAGACATTGCAGAGATTCATTAAAATTTTAATAAGAGGTTCATGGATTATATTTTTTACCTAACATTTCTTATTATTAGGGATTTGTAACAAATACATTTTTAAAATATTAACATGATACCAGCGTCAAATAGTCATTGAAATTATATGAGAATCATAGATTTTATTGTTACAAATCTGCTTGTTATCAGTGATTGGTAGTAATCACATTAGTAAAATCAAAACAACTCGTTTTGTCTGTATGAGGACATATTAGAGGTAGTAGAAGTATTTCGTCGTGCGCGCGACGTCAACTCTACGTTGGAGTGTCCGCCAGTGTAGCCAAGAACTTGGAAACAGCTGCCGCCTATGCCATGTTGCCACATTTCCCTTCCGCTTAAGGGAACACTCATTCCGCGGTCATAAGGAACATCTATGAAATACGAGCGCATATAAGTGAACACTTATTTTGAGAAAGCACTTATCACTTAAAGGTTCGCTTGTCCTATAAATGACGACTATGAATTCGGCCCTAGTGCCAGATATCATTCTTTTCTTGGCTTCTTTCGGTACACCGACGTTTGGTAGCATTCTTGCAATGTTAACTCCTGTCCTCGCTGCCTTTTCTGCCATCACATTTAAGTGGCGCCTAAGGCTGAGTCTATGGTCTATTTCGACTCCTAAATATCTTACCTGGCGCTTCCAGTTGATTCTCTTCCCATCGGAGGTCTGGGTAGTGAAAGGCCCTCCGGTCGGTGATTAAGACAGCTTCGGTTTTTTGCATTGCCATCTGTAGCTCTCGTCTTCTAACCATCTTTTAACTCTAAAGAGCGCTTCGTTCACTCTCAATTCGAGGGGCTTAACGTCGTCGCTGTGGCTTCTTATTACCGTAGCATAGCCTATGAGCTGCGTATTTCTCGGCAGGTCAATGCTTAGAATATCATACAGGACATTCCATAAAAATGGCCCAAGTGTGGACCCTTGAACACCGCACGTCACATTCTCTTATATCCTGAAACTGTCCACATATGGTATCGTCCTTTCATGGAGGTAGTCTTCAATAATTCTTATGAGATATTCCAGAATCATCTTGTACACTAATATTTCTGCTTCCACCGGGGGAGTTGAAGGCGTTTCTAATTTCAATTTCCACGAGCGCGCAGAATCCCCTCTTATGATTGCTTATGTTTATGGACAACTTCCAGGATGGCATCTGTCGTCGAGCGGCCTCTCCGGAATCCATATTGCCTGTGGAGAAAGCAATGAGCCCCTCAAGCTCAGAAAGTATTAAACCCTCAAGCAGCTTGCCCATGGTATCAAGGAGACCCAGTGGTCTGTACTGGCTTATTGCCCTTTCGGAGGAGTATCAGCTTTTGTCTCTTCCACGTCTTGAAGAATTTCCCGTTCTCAAGGCAGCGGTTATAGATTGACAAAAGGCATTCCGGATACTCCTGTGCTACTCTTTTTAGTATTTCACAGGAAACTCCATCGAAACCTGGTACCTTCCCAGTTTTCATGTTTTTCGCCGCTCTCCTCAGTTCGTCTATCGAGAAATGTCTGCTGCGTCAACCGTGAAGTCGCTATGTCTTTGTCTCGTCCAGGGATCTCTAGTGAGAAAGAGGTCCCTAATAGCTTTCCTCATCCATTGTGGATCATTCAAACCAGGTCCATCCTGAATTTCTTATTAACTATTTTATAAGCCATGCTCCATGGGTCGTTATCGATCTGTTGTAGGTGCACCTTTCAGCATCTGTCTTTACTTATTTTTATTTCCCTCTTAAGCCATTTGGTCAATTCTTTATACAGATCCCTGAGGTGCAGATTTGTCTTGGCCCTAGTCTCTATTCTTCTTGCCTTAATAAAGTTCGTTCGTAGTTCAGCTCTTTCTGGTATCCATCAATACATTTGCTGTTTCCTCCTAGAACATCTACGTCTAGGCATGGATTCGTCGCAAGCTTCTACCATTTCCTCCGTTGCCTTAACTATATCCTCAAGCGTTTCCGCCTCTTTCGTCCAACTCATGTTAACCAGCAACTTGGATTCTTCCAAGGAGCGTTTTGCCTTGTCTTCATTCAATGTTTTGGGATTCCAAGGTGGTCTTCCTTTATATTGCATTCTAACATGTTGCGGCCCCTCCGTTAATGGAGCCAAATATCCTATGTGCCGATGGTCACTCAGGGTTCTTCGTCGAACACTGACCAATCAGCTATGCCTTTAGCTAGCTTGGTGGAGCTTAATATCTAATCCACAATAGACTATGTGTCTTCATGTTGAAAGGTGTACTCGTTTCCAGTATTTTGGATGATCAGATCATTTCTTGCAATGAATTCACGTATGATGTGACAAGGAAAAAGATGCACATTGGTTGAACAGTCAAGCTTCTTTGCTGATTAAAGCTTTACATTTTTATGAAAAGTTTTTACAAACAATTTCTGACAATTTTCTTCAAGACATGCTGTTATTGATTAACATTGTATTGAAATTCTTTGATAAATATTTGTAAACCTGCACTGCCAGAAAGAAACAAATTGGATGTTGAAAAGCTCTTGGTTACTGATAAATTTATTAATTAGTTTCTGATTATTCCTTAGATGATTCATAGCAGCAAATTACAAATGTATGACATATGTTACAGCGGAAAAAATTAACACACTCAAACTAAGAACTTAATTTTTCATCATCGTAATCTCAGTAATATATCTCCCACATCCCTTCAAAGTTGAAGTAACAAACTAGAACTTGGGAATTTGGCAAAATGCCTTTTTATATTGATGCAATTTTATGACTTAACAATAGGAATCACTTAATTGTACTTCTGGAGTCGTTTTAGTAGATTTTCGTTTTGCCTATTTTAGCTTCTGAAGCCTACTTGTGGCATTTTGCCTTATTTATGCCTTTTTCTGTCGTTTTTGTCAGTAATTTCCTTTTTTCTCCTCCTGGCACCAATCTCTATCAAGCTGGAAACGTACCTGCAAGCCAGCACAAAATGAAGGCATCGTCATGTATATTCTTTCTGTGGACATGGAGACTCCAGTGTCAGTTTTTGTTAAAAATCTAAAAGACAAAGGAAGATAATACCAGTAAAGTTATTTGATATTTTTCATTGATGCTTACAGACTTGCTTGCTCACAAAAACTCTTATCCCATGGCCTCTGATCTCTTTTGAGGACCGAGCTGTCTGTACATGATATACTCTCTTCAGTTCCTTCTTGTTCTCTCTTCCCTTTGGGCAATTACACAAGCCCTAACAACAAAATCTACACTACCATTTTCACAGATACCATTTCAAGATACAAAGGGAGCCCACAATAGCAGTTTGTAGAGACAGCGTTGCAAGTAAAATAAATTCATATTCATCATACGGGAAGGTCATGTGCAATCAAGATTACAAATAAAAGGTTTTTTTCCTTCCATGTGAGTGCTAATGAAAATTTAAGTTAGCGTAAAAATGTGAAACATTTTAATATTTAATTTTTTTACACTTAATTACTTTTAAATAGTAATTTTTTCAGTTTTCTGGTATTTTTACCCCTTACTTTAGCCAGACATCCCGGTTGGCCCACTGGCTAATGTACTCGCATTCCAGGGTGCAACCCTAGGTTTGATTCTTGGCCAAGGCAAATTATAACGGTACGCTTTTCTTACAAATGTCTCAGTATCTATTGCTGTGCGACGACGAGAAAGCCACCCAAAGGTTTAAGACCAGTATATACGGTGAAGGGATGACTATGCTCACCACATGAAACCCTTATCTTATGGCCAAGAGGCTGGGTCACCGCTGGTCGGCCAAGGCCTGTAGCATTTAAGCCAAGAACATTACTTTAGACAATAAATACATTTTTTTGCATGCCTATTTTAGTAAATATTAATGCCTTTTTGCCAGCCAAGCTCTATTTGAATTTTGAACATTCTACATCCTAACTCAGCTTTAATCCTGCTCTTCTCACCCTCTATTATTCTTTGTTACACAGTTGACCTTGTCTATTTTCACGAAATTCAAATTTATTTCAATATTTTTTGCAGAGTCATTTTATGTACTGAATGACCATCTTAATGTTAATATATGACTACTCACAGTTGAACCCTGGGTCACAACCTAAACACCATGAATAAAATTATAAAACTGTTTCAAAATACATCATAAAAGGGAAAGAAATTTGAATAATCTACAAGAATATTTTAGAGAAAGATTTCTTGAACAACATTCATTCTCTTGTGGAAAAATGAACTAATTTGGCACACTTTAATCAATGAAATATCTGGACACAAATTTCAGGTTTACATGATCTTAGTTTCTAATCAGAACTTTTAAAACAATAGAAATATTAAAATACAAAACTAAATTCAATACAAGCACAATTTTTTTTGTGCAAAATCAAAAATACGCATATTCAGAAAATAATTTTCTAGCCTGAGTTAATGCCTACTTAGCATAGTTACATTTAAAAACTGCAAAGAATCTTAGAGGTGACAGAAGCTCAAAACAGAAAGTTGAGTTTTACCATTAATATATTCATTATTATCAATTATGGTTCTTCGAAAAACTTAGCTAACAAAACCATTCGAAACTTGGTCCCAACACCTATCTAAAGTCGGAATAATTGTTCAAGAAAACTAAAAATATTTTATAATATTTTATGGAAGAAGGATACTGGGAAAATATTGGTATTGGCTTCAAGCAGGTTTTCAGATAAAAGAACAGAAATTTAATGTTTTTTTTATTTGCATTGCATTATGATGGATTTATACACAGTACTGACGGTGTTTAAGATTTTACAATGGTTAAAATAAATAGATTACAGAAACAACATGAAACTTAGCATCATCAAGTTTTGCACAAAAATGAGGTTCATGAGAGATCTTGTACAAAAAGGTTTTGTTTTTTTAAAAAAAAGAAGAAGCAAATTTACAGTTCTGAGGAGTACCCAAATAGGCTGGTGCATACATGGACTAGATGCCAACTTGGAACAAGAGAGAGTAATTACAATTTTATTAGAGGCACTTGATGGTGCAAAGTTATTTCATAAATAAAGACAACTACAATTATTTCCTACAATTATGACTGATATGCAATAATAATCAGAATTAGCAAAAAGATACTATAATGTTTACAGCAATGTGATTCATATACCAACATGATAAAAATAGATTAAAATGTACAGGAAAATATATACACGAATAGATTACGCAAAATATTTTTATAAACATATTTTCTATTAAAAACCACATTCTTCGAGTATAAAAAGATTTCACAAGTTGCACAAACAATCAGAAGAAGAATACCTTCATGACTCAAGACAAAGATGGGAGGTGGAGACTGCAAACTTCCTAAAATTGTTGCCTGCATGTGTCCTGACCTATAACCCCTGCAGCATATGCAATGCTAAACTTTCACACATTTTTAGAACAAATCACCTATGAATGCAGGTAACTGCAGCCATAAGGCAAACATTTTCAGATTTATTTTTTGTTGTGCTCTCGATACTTTAATCCAATCATTGCTTACTTTGTTAAGAGCAGCGCTGCACCTTTTACAAATTTGAGGAAAAATGAAAGCTATTCTGAAAATAATTAAGTTCTATTTTGTGCCAAAACTTATCTTAAATGCAATACTGTGAAAAGGTTTCAAAATTTAATGCACATACAAAACATTCCATTGTGCAACAAATGCACAGAAAGGCTTAAAGTCAAATTAGTAGCTTGCCACAATATTTGAGGCACAAGAGAATGTCTTGCCCGCATAAAAATTAAATAGTGATTTTCATGAATTATCTTCACACACATACAGCCTTTCATAAAAAAAAACCATCATACCAGAGGTAGGACAAGGTTCACTGTACAACACCCATTGGTTTACTGCACCTTCAGATATTGTACAATAATGAGGATCGCCAGAATGCAAGTAACCATCCTTGTATAACACCGAATAAAAGACTAAGTACTCCATAAAAGATGGCACTCTACCCTTGTGCCCTTTAACTGGGATGGATGTACAATTTTTAATTAAGTAAATACATTCAATGAAGAGAAAATTCTTTTTAATTAGCTACTTGCGTATTTTTGATATTCGGTAGATAACACACACAGGGATCTTCATAATCCCCTTTTACAATTCAGAAACTCCACATGACAAGCACAACACACAAAGAGAAAAGGAGATAACATGCACTTGAAATTCAGTGGTAAATTCTACCATTTGGCCACAAGTGATTTCATGCCATAGTTTGACATTTTCCTCTCTCTATGAATGATCAACTCACAAGAAAAGTTAAGAAGGCCTGCCACCCAAAATATTAGTAGCAGAGATCTTTGGACACACCCCCATTGAAAGGGACTCAGTGTAGTTGAGTGTGATTCAAAAAAGAATTAACATAATGCAGCCCAGCTGCAATAAGTTCATATTCATTGCATTGTTAAATGCCAATTGTTCACTTCAGTGCAAGTTGAAGGATGCAATAAGGGATCAATCAGAAATGAGAACACACTGATGTAATAGAAAATAAGTGCAATTTACATGCTGCACATAACTTCTAATCAAAATATTGGTCTTCTCCAGAAGTGTAATGTTCGGGCCTGCAAGGCCCACAATGTGAGAGTGCCTTGAGTAAAAGAACCAGTTTTTAGGGGATATTTTCATTATTTAAGGTAGTAACACTACTTGTGTTAGTGTTACACTTTTGTAAAGGAGACCCAGATAAATTTTTTGTGGGTGGATCCGCACTCATTTTGTTACACTACTGGTCTTCTGAATTTACAGTGTTGTGCAGAACAAACTATGTGATCAGCAATAAAACTGACTTAACAATGCATCAACAAATTTGAAAATCTCTATATAAAACCTCGTAGAATTTACTGAGAAACATTTATTTTTGACATAAATGAAGCTGAGCGTGTTACTCTATGCTCCAAAATTTTTTTTTAATTTTTCAAATTTGGGCAAAATTTGTACAAGGAACATCAGTGTGTAGCCATTTGATTTGGTTTAGAAATAATCCAGAAAACAGGTATGAACCATTAGCTAAGAGCACAAATTTTCTACACGAGATTACTATATTTTCTAACGGTACCTTTTGTATCAAAATATAAATTTAATTCTTTAGCAAGGTGTCTCCAGCATCATGAATTTCTGAAGACTATTGTCTTCCCAACTGCTAATTTATTTACAAATCTAAAGTTGTGCCATTTATTAAACAAGTGCTCAGTTGCACCAGGCACATTCTATTCTTCAACTATTTAAAACTGGCAGGAGAGAGAGTGAACTATTTTACACTGATTAACTTATACGAATTATCAGATCTTTAATATTTCTGGTTATTTCGTTGTTAAGACAAAACCGCAAGCAACAGGAAAAACAAACAACTTCTACAAATCAGTTACACAATGTAAGATATCAATACTAGAGATATTGCTGGGATTTAATAACGCTTATTACAAATGCATTACGTGATCAATATTCAGACAGAAACTTTGTACACTGTATGTTCAATAGGAATCAAAATACAGCTACAAAACTTGGAAGCATTTCACAACTGTGTTCAAACCATCTACTTTGCAGGTTATTTCACAACAAAGAGCTGCGTCTTCCAATTTAACATCTTCCCACCAAATAGGGAAAAAATAATTCCCTTTTATTCTGCACACAATTTTGTTATTTTGGACCAAATTAAGCACCTTTTCCTTCAGTTCCTTACAACCTATAAAGAAGATGGTAAGATACAAGTGCACTTGGAATCACAAATCTTTGGTATCAAGAGAAAAAGTGTTTAAGTGTTGAGCTTTCTGTGTCAAACTGATGTCACGTAATTCTTGTTCTCCAATAACACAGCCTTACATGTAATGGTCCACAACAAGGCTGGAAACACTTTGAACATCACTCAACACAAACCACAAAGGTTAGAAAAAGTTTTCCGTTTCTTTTATGACAGATAAAGAAACTGAAAACTAAAGCCTATAACATACATAATCCTTGAAAAAACAAATATGCCAAAATAAATGATGTGAACACTGTAAATTATGGCATGGAAGTACAGAGTACTTGCATCTTTGATGCCACTGCAATGATTCCCGACATGTGGAACAGCAAAACAACCTGCCAATAGTCTAAGACTAAATAATCTCCAGTAGGTTACTCAAATTTTAATACTTTCCTACTAGGTGATATTATCCATTTAGCGTGCTAATAATCAAGATCTTCACTTGCACTCATTCATTGTATGTACACTGCACTAGCACTGATAAAAGACTCACTCACTCACACTATTTCAAGAGCTAATAAGTTGCATTTCAGCAACTTCAACAGTCTGAAAATAAGCTTACCAAAAGCCAAAATTGTCTTGGCCAAAATAACTTTCTTTAAAAATACAGAGAACTCGCAGCAAATTGTAACAAGAAAATGTTTTGATATCACGCTGGATAAAAAATAACGACACGCTCGTGGCTAGCACTCGCAACTACAGAATGAAACACAAACTAACACAAAACAAGTCTTAGCTCTTGGAGTGGTGAGCACTATTCTTCTGAGCTTTCTTCTTGCGAGCCGCCAACATGTCGTAGAATGGATTATGACTGATGCTTTGCCTATGGCAGAAATAAACACTCGTGACCGCGGGATTCATCATTGTGTTTAGGCCACTCAGGAATAGTGACCGATGCTTTTCCTATGTTGGAAATAAGGTTTTGCTTTATTTTCAAATTTTTGATGTTGAAATGTAAAATATTTACAGAGCATGCATGTTTTCAAAACAAACATGCATATCAATATATGTACATTTTAATCACAACACCTTTTTAGACAAGTAGTTATCGATCAAAACAAAAATAATAAAAATAAATAAACAAAAAAATAAATAAAATGAAACAAAAGCACAAAACCCACAAAACCAACATGCGGACATGCATCGTTCATATTCACATAAATAAACCAAGAAGCAACTGTGGTCCTGTGTGCAGTTGCTAATGGGCTGGTTAGGGTTAGGTTCACCCGGAAAAGGAGTAAGCAGGTCCTTAGACCTGTGTACCCACAAGGAAGTACAGTCCTAAACACAGATCATTAAAACAAATTGAAATGATCCATTCCAAATGAAATTTCACACTCTAAAAAAACTTGTCTGAGACTGTACAACACATGCCAAAAAAAACACAAAAAGTAACTTATCAATTAATTAATTAACTGTCAAAAAATAATTTTAAAATACCTGCCAAAGCAAGTATCAATGCAGGTGCATGTTAATTTGGATAGTAGTGATCAATGGGCTAGCAGAAAATATAGCCAAGTATTAAATTAGACATCAATATGCACATTCATATTTACACAGAAGAAATTAAAATTGCCACTACCAAGAATATGATGAGAATTTTATAATGACACTCAAGTACATTTAATTTAATGCATTTTTAAGAACATTTAGAATGTCCACTGACATTAATATGGTAATACAAAAATAAAAGGAAATTAAATTGACAAATACAACAACAAAACTGCACATAGCATAAAATCATGAAAAACTCCTTTATTTTGAATTCATTCTTAACAAGCAGCATTATGAGGTTATTACCAGCAATTTTATTTTTCTATTTCTCATTACTTGCACAATTTTAGAACTTTCATTTTTGGCATAGGTATCCATCACGTAACCAGTCCTCCAGCAAGCCCATCACCAAAGGGAACAATTAATATATTTACAAGAATCTATTTCTAGACAATATTCATCTAATACTATGTGCATGTATAACTACAGTGAGTGCAATATTATGCACCTGCATAAAAATACTCTGATTACAGGCAGATAAGTAAATGCATGTAAGTGCAAAAAATATACTATAGCATTTTCTAAATCTAGGTAAATATAAATGAAAACGATTTAGAGACATTTCATGATTATTCACTAAAATCTACTATTCTGTTCATTTCTCACCTGACACATTTAATCCAGTCATCCTTATCCTCTGGAGTAGCTGCAGACATACGATACACAGTATGTTTCCCTGAAAAAATTACAAGTCGCATCCATCATCAGAATCTATTTGTAAAGAAAAAACAAACAAAAACACAGAATTCACAGAGCATGATCGTTACATACCTTCTACAACTTTCCCTTCACTGTCTGTTTTACATGCTTTAATGAAGTCTGATCCACTGGCATAAAGTTCAAAACAATGATGCTTGTGGCGATCCGTAACTTCACGCACTTGAATGTTTTCAAGAGGAATAATTCCTCTAGGTTCTTTGTCTGTAGTATATTCAAAGTAGTATAGACAGTTATCATTGAGAATGAACCAACGTCGCTTCCAGCTTTTATAGCGTCCACCTGAATCAAAAAATTCATCATTATAGTTGCACTAATGGTATATTTTGGAATACTTAAGAACTACAGAAGAAAACGTACCTTGTTTCCAAAGCCAACCCTCTTTATCAGGATTAAAGAAAGTGTGCATCAAATCGCAACCATCATCTTCAGGGATTTTAAACGGTTCAGTCTTTATACTCTCATACAAACTCTGTGAAAAAAAGAGGATTCAATGATCAATATATTGTAATCTACAATTCCAATTTTTTTCCCCTCCAACAAATTATGTCACTTCATGACTTTTTTCTCACTCAATTTTCTTCAAAGTTATATTTCAATTTACACACAGTATTTTATATTTTGGGTAGCATGTCATCTACAATCAGTTTATTGATTACACAGAAAGTGTAACAACTTTAATTGCAACTGAGATTTTGAAGCTTTGGAGAGAGTTCACTTACAGTAAGCAGCTCTTGAGGGAGATCTCCTCCATTGTTGATCCCTCGATTCATTGAGATAAACTGCTCCACTGTAGGCTTTTCTTTTACACTAGGATTGTGCAAACTTGTGTTCAGCATTATTATTGCAAATGACAATACATAACAGGTATCTGAAAAAGTAAATTTGCGTTTTGAAAAAATTGAAATTTTGCTATTTCTTGTAGTATCAATATTATTGTAAAATGAACTGTAGATACAATGCATAAAACCACTATATGAAACATTTAACTGTAAGTATAACTTATACTTCCACTCATGCAAGGTTTATTTTACAATCTTATCTGATTATTTACATGTACTCACCAGTGTTTGTGAAAATATTGGGATTGAGCTGACAATAGCGCTGTGCAAAACACTCCATCATACGGTCAATTTTTTGCGCTTCACCAGGAAGACGAAAACTCCATAAAAATTGCCTGAAACAGGACATCATATTTTCAATATAGTTTGTTCAAATGTGAAATATTTTTGTTTATGCCTGGACTGAACTTTAGGATACAATACACGTAAATCATCACATTATTGCATGCTCATGACTAAATGTTATGAAAGAAACTTTAATACAGGCAAATTTGTTACAATACATGAATCAGAAGAATTTAAAACTCAGATCTACAATCCTTTTACAAAAATTACTAATTTGGCCAATTCAGTCCTGGACTAATATTCCCGAACTTAACATGTGGCACAGGCACCGGCGGTTTTATGAACACAATTTCTTCAAATAGCACAATACGCTTTAGAAACTTATGAAGATTAATTAATTTCCTATTCAGGAGGAGCATTAACTTTTTGTGTGTGTATGTGTGTATGTGTGTGTGTGTGTGTGTGTATGTGTGTGTATGTGTGTGTATATATATATATATATATATATATATATATATATATATATATATTTTACACACACACACTACACCACTCTTTAAATAGCAAGGGACGGCGTATTGGAATTAGCTGCACGTGAATGAGCAGTCGCAGAGTTCGTGTCCGCTTTCGTGCCGCTCTTGTGACCACGTGCAGGGCAGCAGAGTATGATGCAGGTAAAAACCCGATTGGTCAGAAAATTTCCCGACTTGCAGCACGTTGCGTCGAACTAATATCCGGGGACGGCAACTTCGTGCCAAACAAGAGCACGGAAGGCTCACCTGAGTGCCTGCACCAGGATGAGGTCTGTGAAGTCGTGGAGCTCCACAAACGCCTTTAGCACCTTCTCGTTGAAGTCGTTCTTCTCGCCCAGGTAGTCGCCAATGGCCGTTTTGTTCAGGCCTTCTCCTTTGTAGAGGAACTGCGCCACGTCCTCGGCAGTGCTCTTCAGCAACCCGTGCTCTATCAGGTATTCGATGCCCTTCTTCGGGTCCATGTTGAATTTCTTACGCCCGATGGACATTTGCTTCGTTTTGGTATTGTTTTTGCTGCAAAACCAAACGGCACATTAGGAATGTGGAATACCTCTGTCATAAGTAGTACACTATCAAATCACGAATGGAATACTAAACTAATTTTCTTAATACTAAATTTCTCTTAATGGGCAGAAAATATTAAAAAGATCGGGTGGCATTTGGACGCACGATACCTTGGCGAACTTTTAAAACCAATTGTCCGTTCACCGCAAACTCTCGCGTGGGGTGCGCTTCCGAAGAACGTCGTCCTTATGCAATGAGGGCATTTTCCGCAAGTGAAACTAGGCGCGTTCGCGATCGCTATCACGAGTCGACCGGCGCGTCACTGGAGAACTGCAATGGCCCGCAAGCGCTTGAGGAAGAGTGTGACAGCGAGCGATGACGTAGCCCTCCAAACAAGGCGAGGTTGTTCCAGGAAGCGGCGCGCGCGTTCGTCACTGGCGTTGGAGTATTCGACAGGTGGCGATTTTTGGTGTCAAGATCGGATGCAAGTCTTAATCAATTGCCGTGCACATAGGAGGGGCCCGTGGGCCTTTGAAAATTTTGAAAGCTTTGTAAGGCGTCCTCTACTTCTCTTTTTTACCGGATAATGTGAATTGTTTTTCACTTGGTGAAGCAGTTCTCGAAGACCTGAAGCGATCTTATATAAAGAGTTAAAAAAATTTGAATAATTACGATTATAATTTTCCTTCTCGTGGAGTTGTTTTATTTTTTACTAGTAAAATATATCGTGTGTAAATAAATGTTAAAGGGAGAAGGGACCCAGATACGTAAATTGCCTCTTGCGCAAGCCCTATAATCCTAATGACAGGATGTGACGCCAAGTGTCCACAACTCTTGCAGTTTTGAGAACGATATGGAGATAAATTTGGGTTTGATCTAGATTATGGAGGTATCGTTTACCCCGAGATTGCTCTTAACTTCTGAAGACGGACACTGGATGACACTTCAGCACAGTTTTTACCCGCTACTTTCCGGAGATCTCAAAGAGATTGATTTTCGAGTGAAATATAGGAAGACAAGTGAATATGAAACCATGAGGTACAGCAGCTTCTGGGCAGAACGCTCCTTACGAACACTGTTTGAATAGAAAAATGCCGAGCATATCAGCATGCGTTAGAGAATTCCATTTTTTATCAAGAGCAGACCGAGAATTGAGGCTACCTCTCTACTTCTCAGGACGTAAAAAAAAAGCAAACATACATTCATTTGTATTCTAATTGTATTTTGTTATAACTCTGGTAATTTAGGATATTGCCAAGAGTGACTTCAATTCTCATAACTAACTTCCAAGTTTTACACTCCCGAAGAAGTTTGTGGCAATTACCAGCAAAGCACACGAGTTGCTCCGCGAGATATGTGTTCAACAGTTGTAGCTGTGCACTGCGGAATCGCGACACAAGAGTCACATAAAAACTAATATTTACGCAAATTTCCTCTCGCACTCCACGATTTGAGCACGTCAGCCTTGTGGGGGTATGACTCACGGTTAACGGCTCTCTGGGAAGCGAGACTGCTACAGTGTGTGCCCACGGCTGGTCCACCAAGGACTTTTCAAATTCCAAAGTACCCAACGCAACTATTTTAGGATCCTATCGCTTACTAATTAAAAATACTGGTAGTTTGTTTATAAAAAATCTATTTTTAGAAGTGTGATATTTACCCAATTAGATCTTGAAAATAATTAAAGAGACCTTAATAGACAAGTGAAATATCTGTTACTAATTCTACGCTAGTTTAATCACTACACAGCGCCACTCGCTTTCTTCTACACACGATCAAATCAACGAAATGTTTTATGAACTCCACAAACGGAGGTAATTATTTCATAAAACAGTGCTAGCACATGTAATTTTTAAATGTTACAAATCTAACAAAAAATTGAAAAGAGGATACCTATTACACGAAATTTCCGACTGCACATTTATCCCGTTTTGCATCTTTATTACCAATTTCCAATGCTCTCAGAAATTTGAAGGAAACTGCAATCTCCGGCCCTGTGAGAATTGTGCGTTTTCACTGGATACCCAGGAACTCGAAAGACAAAAAATAACGGACATCGAATTTAACTGAAAAATGCAAATATTTGAATTATTCCGCCAACCTCACGCTGTGCGCACCTACTGAATACTCTGTGCATCATCGCTGATGTCAACATCTTTTCTTATATTCCTGGTATGCAAATAAACGTTTTCCTTTATACATATTAGGGTGCTCAGAAACATTTTTTTACTCACTCATTTTTAAAGACTATTCATATATATATAAAAATATAAATAAAAATATAAATATATATATATATATATATATATATATATATATATATATATATATATAAAAGATTTAAACGCATCTTTCTGGCACAAAAATGAAAAAAAATGCTACTTTCACACAGTTCCAAAAATTTACAAATAGACGTTTGAAAGTGTCGCAAAATACAATATGTGGAATCTTCTATATTATTACGAAGGAATCTCGTAACGTAAGCTGTATTTCATCTTCATAGATTAATATTTACCTTTCGTCTCCCGTATCCATGTTCTCCATTTCGGCGACGACTTCCCCCAAGGCATCTTTGAGTTGCTGTAAACAAATGAAAACTGCCGTTAAAATCTCTACTTTTACAAATTAAAAAATTTTTCGGCTGATAATTTTTTGCAAAGACATGTGAATTTTATAACGATAAATTATTTTCAAGAATACACATGACATTGCTCTGAATCTTAATATCAGCAGGCAACATCAAAATACAGCAAAGCATTGCGACGAAATATCTAAGAAAGCAGTCCAATATGTCAGTTAAAAAATGTCAGAGCAACGTTCTTTTGGCGCGAAATGACCTCCGAACATTATTATAGGTATACAATGCAAATAACCGTGTATTTGGTGGACCATTTTCTATCATGCCTACCAATTTTTAATGGTATAAATAATGCTGAGTTCATTATTGACCAAATGTTAAAAAATATGTATAGACAGAAGAACGTATGTATGTTATGTACAGAAGTTTTGGCAATCTATGCAAGTCTGCCAAGACGAAAAACCAATATGGAACTATCATGTGAAGAGCGATTTTAATGAATAAGTATGCTTCGTTTTGCAAGGATACTAACGTAACTGGAGACAATTCGTTCTACTTTATTTCCGTACAGGTAGTAAACTCGAGACAGGTCTGTGTTCAGCAGCATGCTGAGCAACGTAGTTCTTTCATTTCGACAGATTTAGATGCAGAGAAGGGCAGTGGGTATTTCATCCATCACGTCATCCATCCTCGCGGAGTAGAGAGAAGCTCTGGAAGAGGACGGGTGCGACAGGGGAGGGGAGGGGCGGGGAGG